CAAAAATAATGACTTTATTTAACAATTTCTTCCCTTCGTTATTTTTGTTGTTGTTTTTTTGCCCACAAAATATATTCTCGTCGCTTCATAACATTAAAGTTAAACCACTGTAGTCGCATGGACTATTTCAACGATGTCTTTTCTACCTTTCTGGCCCTTGAAATTGGTAATAACGTTGCAGTCTATGAGGGGTCAGAAAGCTCTCAGATTTCATCAAAAATATCTTGATCCGAAGATGAATGAAGATATTACAGGTTTGGAACGACATGAGGGTGAGTAATTCATGATAGAAATGTCATTTTTGGGAGAACTAACCCTTTAAACTGAAGACAGATTGCATGAACTAGGAATTTTCAAACTGGAGTCCAGGAAGTCTACTGACAATTTGAGAAATACAATAATTACAAAATGTATTTTAACTGTAAGAAATAAAAAGACACTTTTGAATGGTTTTCTGGGGGGGAAAAGATGTACACAAATACTTTTGAACTAAATGTAAAATGTTTCTCTTATAATCTCACATAAAAAAAAAGAAGCTATACTAACTTTAACAATATTTAAATAATTTACTTGGCTTTAGTGAATAATTTAATTTAGGAAATTTTGGATATTTTTTTTTTTTTTGCCAAGTATCCTGTGAACCCTAATTAAAATTTTAATGACTGCAGCAAAGTTTAGTAGCAATATTAAAAAACAAAACTATTTTCTTCTTTTCTAAAATTGAAAAACCCCACAAGCCCTCAACAGTTTGAAATACCTCTGAGCCAAAACTTAGTTTGAACCGCAGCCTCCCTGCCAATGATTCAGGGTCCACAGAGACAGCTGTCATTGACTGGGCGGGTTGGATCAGAGGGTATGGAGAGACAGATCAATCAGCAAAGGAGAGATGAAACTGAATAGACTCCCTTTTCAGGGCACTATTGAACTGTTATTTAGCTTCCCCACCAATGACTGCTTACACAATCCCTTAGTCAATAGTAACGTAAGATTCAATCATCTCAGGTTAGTCATTCCCTAATTAGATTCTAATGCGCCAAAGAGCCCTACTTTTTTTTGAAAAGGTCTCAAATGTAATGCATTTAGAGAAGTTCCACATATCTATTGTTTGTGTCTTGTCAAGCATTTAAGCTCTAGGCTCATGTAAATGTTCAATTACTGAGGAAGCCACTGAATTCTGTCTCTGTGATCTGACAGGAATGACAACTTACATGAAAAGGTTACTGTAAAAGTGTGTAAAAAGTCTGTTTTATTTGTATTAAGATTATTTCTATTAAAACTGAACTTGACAATGTCTCTGAGGGAGTTAACACAATAAACAAAAATGCATGCCTAGCCATAAATGCGTTTAAAAACATTTCTCAGTAAACCCAATTGATTTAAAATGAAATGTTAAATACGGCATCAACAAACAGCAGTGAGGTTGACAGGCAAATTTCCTTTAAGACTTTCTGTAGAGTTTTTTCATTGACCCACATTTCCGAGAGATAACATTGCAATATCTCCCCTGCGTATCTCACAATCAGTACAATATCGTCCTCATGAGCTTCTGTGCTCAGCTAACAATTTCCCGTGTCGCGAGATGGAAACAGACAATATTAGCTGCTTTGATGGCTCTGCAGGGAAGACACAGTGAGTTTTAAAGCCCACTTCACCGCATGCTAGCACTTCAAATAAACCGGAAAATGGCAGTAATCAAACACAGCGTTAGCTCTTGGAGAGGGCAACTGTACTGTATGCTGGGACATCACCTTGCCAGATGAGTCCTCTGGTTGTTTTACTGGAGCTGCGAAATTCAATAAATAATTACTGGTACTGTATGCAGGTTTGTTCTGATGTAGATATATATAAAAACGCTATTATGCATACCAGACAAGTAGTTGGCGATCACTGTGTAAAGACTACGTGCCTGCGCACATACGCATTCTTTTACTACGGTGCACTAGAGCCGAACGCACATGCCTATAGACACAAATGACAATTTATAATATTTTTTTGTCCGATTTTCATTCTAAGGATGTAAATCTTGATAATACTGTATTATTACTTTGTTCTCCTCTGATATAAAGTCCCTTTTTACTTCCTTTAAAGGGGTCATGAACTGGCTTTTTACAATTTTTTATATTGTTGTCTGAGGTCAACTTATGACGTTCGCTTGGTTTTTACATTCAAAAACATCAAAATGAATAAGTAATAGGCTATTTTCTACCCTAGTTTTGAGCCTTGCTCAAAAACGCTCGGTTTTTATGGGCGTCTCGCATTGAAGACTTGGAAGTAAACGCCCACTGCTGTGAGTGGATAACAGTTTTGCATATTATAATGAGTTTTGTGTAATGCGCGAATCGGTGGGCGGGGCTAAACCGGCCGTGTTGAAGTAGGTGTCGATCTTCTTCTGCGGGGGTGGTGTTTTATCCTCTTTGTCGTCATAGTTCCCCACTTTGAAAAACGAGTCGTTTGCTGAGCCTGGTGTCAATAAAAGCTTTTATTGGACTAACAAGGACGTTTTCAGTTCTGAAACTTACAGGATATTCTTATAATATGATGACCTCTTAGATGTCAAAAGGTCAAGGAAAATTTGATTTCTCAGTTCATCACCCCTTTAAGAAAATGTCAAAACCTTTGAACACAAAGGCTTAGAAAAAAGATCTAAACAGATTCGCGTTGTTGTAGTTTACACAGAGATGATAAAGGGTGTTTTTTTAAAAAACTTGCACTTTAAAACCCGTTTTCATAAGTTTGCGGTTTCAGGCCACCGAAACGCAGTTGTCGTCTAAATGAACGGATTTTAGTTGATGCATTTTATGAATAAAATGAATGTTGATGAAACTGTAAGTTGATGAATAAAATTATTTTTTATTTGAAAACGATGTCGGTAAACGGCCCCTCTGTCTGTTCCTTTGTCTGTTCTTGTACAAGTGGTGGCTGTGTGTTTGATTCTGTGTGTTCTGCTCCTCTCATGTTAATAAGGTTAATTATCTGAACGTGCTTCTCCCGAACTTTGTTAATCAAACATTAAAATGTGCTATTTATTATGCATTTTGATGTGCTGAATTAAAATATGTATCAATTAAAACAACAAGATATTTAGGTCTATGTATAATGTGTAGATAGTACCTGTCACCTTTCCTGTTTATGTAACACTTTAAAAATAAGCAAAATGGTTATATAAATCTAATTTATTATGAAACAAAAGGCAAAAAACTATTATGTACATGGTTTAATCCTAATCAGTGTCTACTGGGCGCTTCTTGGCTTGTCTCTTGTATTCATTCATGGGCTCAATTTACTCCATTTGAAGTTATCTGCAGTTTACACAACTACGAGGCATCTCTGCTCTCTTTGGCAAACACACATCTGTCCCTTTGCAAAATCGAACACTGACTAATAAGAGAGAGCACAACGCTGTATGACAGGGGTGCAAAACTCCGTTCCTGGAGGGCAAACAGCTTTAACCCTAATTAAACACACCTGATCCAGCTCATCATGTCCTTCAGGCTAATTTAAAAACTACAGGTACAGTGTGTGTGTCTGAGCAGGGCTGGAACTAAACTCTGCAGGGCGGTGGTGGCCCTCCAGGAATTGAGTTTTGCACCCCTGCTGTATGATTTCTAGAGCTGATATAGGGCAATTTGTTCAGCAGAGTGATGTAAGCTTTGTTACGGTTGGATCATCCATGACTTCTAGGAACAATGATACAATTCATATCATGTACTGTATGACGCAATACCAGCTTCAGATTGCATTGCATTATTCATTGTTTTGCCTTAAAAGCAAGTACTTTCCAAACTCAGTTATAGATTTATTCATAGATCCAGTCAAAGATGTATTTTAGTCATTTCTGGTTTAAATTGAGATCCCCTCCCTTTATAACTCACTTATTCTCCGCCATTCCCAAATCATGGGTCGTAATACTGACTCGATAGCATATCAGCAATTTTAAGCATAATTTTTGTTCTCAGTGAACCAGAATTAGTAAAGTTTGACTACATTTATTACAGAAGCATTTTGGCTGTAGACCAGTGTATTTAAATGCTTAGTTTTATGGTCAAAGCTCTGTAGTTTTCATTGTGGTGGCAAAATATATAATGCAAGGAAATACAAAAATGATTCAGAAATGAACAAATAAATGGTCCTCAAAAGCCTATCATAGGTGATTTTTCTAAAAAGTGATATATGGATAAGTTACTTCAGTCTAGTAAGTGTTTGTCACGATTATTCTTAGTTTCACCCTCATGGACTCTTAGTTTGTTTACCTTCAGTCACGTCTCCTTTGTTCTCAGTTTCCCGCCACTTGTTTCTTGTCTCCTAGGTTACTCATTGCGTTCTAGTTTGTTTCTATGGTTACCCATCAGTTACCTCGTTTGTATCACCTGTGTTAATCCAATCATCTTTGTTTTCACTTAGTATATATTTATGCCTGTGTTTCTCGTTAATGCTTTAGTTCAGTTTGGTGTTGTTATCTTTCTGTCAATAAACTCTGTTCACTTTTATCTTCGTCTTCGCGTCCTGCCTACACCACGCATCTAAAATATTATATTACTAACAATAAAAGTTGTTCTTGTGTTTAAAATCTGTAAAGAATTCATAGCAAAAAGACACGTGAACCACAACCTGAAGGTGGATAAACCACTATAAACCACTGTATCAATCAGACAACAGAAGACGTGTAGTAGATTGTATACAATCTACTTTTTTATTTGATGTATTTGATATATGTTTAAAAAATATGTTGGTTACTTTTAAATTATAATAAAGATGTTTTCCATCTGTTGTTTCCATCCAAGTGTTGCAGGATATCTCTGTTGATCCAATCCATGCACTTTGTGAGTCGTATTTAGTCATAATAAATAATATTTCTTGAATAAAAATACATAATTTTGATGCTATCACATGAAGCACGTATTTAGACAACCAGGCAAAACATTTTAACAGTGCGAACACTTTCTTTAAAAAAAATGAAATAACAAGACTGCATAAAAGACTGAGACACATGTTAGACAGACCTTGGTTTTGTTGCTGGAGTGTCTCAGTGAGGTCCTGTAGATGTAGCAGAAGAAGACCTCCAGCGCCTAACAGCAGCAGGAACCAGAAGGAGCAGGGGATTCTCATGACCATCGAGAGTAGGGACCTCCTTCTGCCTCCACAGACGGCCTCCAGCACCCTACACTCTACCCACATCACGGCCTGTGACGCACGGCCCTGGTGGTGGGACCTACACACACACACACACAGAGAAAAAACACTTCAACAGTGCCTTAGCAACCAAGGCCGTCGTGACGCTTTACTTCTGCAAGACAAGCTAGTGGTTGTAGAGTCTGGAATTAGAATTGTTTAGAGTTCCATTCACACCAGGAAAGTCCGATAGTTCACTTGCTCTGGTCCGGACCAAATAATTTTTTTTTTTTTTTTTTTTTGGTACGGTTCGCTTTCACACTGCTCTTTTTGCAAGTGAACCAAAATGTGTAAACAAAACCACACGTGTGCTAAGGTCGTCCATTCATTGGACAAGGATTCTCAAGTAGGGAAATCAGGAAGTGCAAAAAAGGCTCAGCATGGAGATATTTCGTACTGCAATATTTGTTATTTTACTAATTTTGTGTTATTCTGTACGAACGCAATATGAAGAAACTGCGCAGAAGACGGATAAGGTATAAAGTTTTCATTCATAGAGAGGGGCTATGTTCACACATTCAAATAATGAGATTCTTATTGTATATACTGCTAACAAGTGCTGTCAATGTTAACGCTTGCAATTTAAGTTTGTCCAGTTTAACGCAGCGTCATCCTTGTAACTATTATATGAACTGCAAAAGCTTTTTTTTGCATCTATGCACGATTAGACTAAAGAGAACGCGCTGTATGTGAATGTCCTGATGCACACACTCATTCATTCATTCCATTCCAATGACGCACACACGACGCGCAGAAAGACGCGCAACAGTATCGTGTGGCCAGACAGCGCGCCGGAATGGAATTCTCTTTCGCACTTCAACAACAATAACACAAACCATTATGCCAAAATCTCCGACTACGGAAGCCTTTTAACTCAAAGGCGCAGTGCTTTCTTGCAATTGGGTCGGTTCATGTTCACACCGTAAACGAACCGTACCAGAGTTCGTTTGGAACCGTACCGAGACCACCTCTTCAGCTGGGTCTCGGTTCGTTTGTTTGGTCCGCACCCGAGTTCGATTGCTGTATTCACACCTGCCCAAAAGGTCCGCACCAAGGGGGGAAACGAACTAGAGTTCGATTCAATCAAACCAAACAAGGCAGGTGTGAATACACCCTTAAGCAACTAACAACAACCTAGGACACCCTAGCAACCACCCAGAACATCCTTAGCCATTTTTTTAATTCGCAAGCAGCACTCTTCTTTTTTTTTATGAAAAAAAAAAAAAAATCAAGTTAAACCTGCTGTTGGGAAATGTTGAAAACTTTTATTAGTTTAAGTAAGTTACAAATTGAAAAGGAGTGGACAATGGGGCGTTTGCATTTGTGAATGTTTATTTCTGTTGTATCTCACGCTACAATTTATATTTAGCGTGTTGTGTTTTCGCAGATTTATCTGATGAATATTCTGCTGACTGCAAGGTCCCATTTCCCACAAGAGGAGATGCAAGACAGAGAATAAGAAAGAGAGAAAGGGAGGCACAGTTGTTTGTGGAGTGTGTGCCAGGTTTGCTGTTCTCAGCAGGTGAGAGCAGCGCAAGGAATCATGTGCTGAGCCTATAGGGACCTGAAGCCTACACAAAACATCTTGCCCTGCCTGTTCCATGTGTATCTTCTACACACTGTGAGATTAGACAACCTGACTCACACGACCCACACAAACATAAATTCTTATTACAAACATTCATCATACACTGTGCTTTGTGGAGCTTAACACCAAACAAATCTGGAGCACTGAGGAGGAAGTCATAAACTGATTACTGAATTAATAGACTGAATTAATTTGCTTTTAACATTATTAATAGGACTGTGCATAATAATATTAATTCCACATTAAATGGCACTTTTCCACAAACAAGCTACAAAATAGCACCTGGAACTCTTTCTCAACAAATAGTCAGTGGAAGGAAGTGCTTAACCTTCAGACAATAACTGAAGGTTAGGCCTATTTCAGTAACAGTTTCCACAAAAATATTAAGCAGCACAACTGTTTTCAACATTGATAATAATGTTTTATAGATCAATTGATTAAAGAAATGTTTCTTGAGCACTAAATATTAGAATGATATTCCCGCCATGCTGTAGAAAGAGTCCAAATGATGACTTATTGGGTGTCACAAAATTAAAGAATTAAAATCACTTGGTAAGAGAGTTGACCACAAAATCAAATTTTTGAAAAAAAATCATTAAAATTAGCTAACAATTATCATTTTATTTATCGCATAAAGTTCAGAAAGTCCAGAACTCTGAGATGGAGAAAAAAAAAATCTCAATTTTAACTGGTCAGGTGTCATCAAAATAAATCAAAGCCCAGCAATTACAGAAATTATGTGTAGCACGCACTGTGAATGTGGCTTCATTTGCTTTGCAAAGTCATTTTCATTTGCTTGAAAGCATTTTCCACTCAGCACTTAAATGTAAGTGCTGCATTTTCTACTGTAAAACCGAACATCAAACCTTTGCCAGATGGAAACCGGCCTTATCATCTTCCCACATCAAAACACCAAAATTGCAGCTTGATGTGTACAGTCGCATCTTTGCAGGCAATCACAGCTGAGGTGATGGGGTTAGATTTCTTTAACAACAGCTTTGAGTAAAAAAAACAGCCCATGCACCTGCTCCTTCATCGACGCCCCCTTTCCTTTTATCTGGGCTTGATTGCTTTTCCCTGAATTGGACCACTTCCCCCATTACCCCAGTCCCAGGATATTGCTGATCCCTGACCTGTATGATAGTGGGATTTAAAAAGGTCTTGAGAAGCACAAGGAAACCTGTGGAGGTAATCTAGAGCTGTTCTCCTCAGTAGAGCCAGAGGATCTTCTGCTAATGAAAGCAGCTCTCTCACCAGATGCTACCCTGTCATTTAAGATCTTACTTTTGACATTCACTTGTGGTTATACTTAGAATTCAAACCCGGGCCAAAATGGCAAAGAATTATTACTTCTATTAAGCAAAATCTTATCCAACTGTTGTACTTGCCAATTAGTCAAACTTTAATATTCTTGTGAAATATGGAAATTAGGTGGTGGATCATTATAAAAGTATTCTCTAAATAACTTTAAGAAGTCACTTTATGGAAGTTTTATTCTTATTACCACACGGCCAAGGTCAAAAATAAAAATAAAATAAAATAAATTGAAATGAAAAAATTTTTATTGTTTCATTCTGCCTTGTAATGGTCGGAAATCGTGAGTTTAATACAATTATTTTAGGCTTCTTTTCAGGTTTATACATCTTAAAGTAGTGATGATGGATATAAAAAAATACATTGCGAGTAGAAACTACATATTTTTCCAAATTATATTTCATGAATATTTATAATATATTTTTTCACACAATAAATTTTGTTTTTATACATGAATATACATAACTAACTATATAGGGGATCATTTTGGGGTGTCCATAGCATTAAAATTTTTTGAAAACCTCTGGCCTTAGTGATGTGAGCCAAAAAGAAGTCTTTTCAGGGGCAGAGCAGGTTATGATTATGAATTTTTTTTTTAGGGGTGGGGGGGAATGTAACGTACACCGATAAATTATGTGCAGACCAGGAACATGTGTAAAGATAGTTTATTTTGATTGTTCTGTCTTAAAGTCTAGTCTGAAGTCATATGACACTGTGTAAGTCAGTCAGGTACATTGTAGAGGCTTTTTTCGATCATGTTTGATTGCAACATTTGTAAATTTGGAAGTTGTAACCACATCACAGGATCGAAAAGACCAGATGTGCTCAATTACCCATGATAAATTAAATCTCTGTATTTACATAAACAGACTAAATCAATTTTGTCTTACTTGTTTAGACAGCTGTTAATTACAAAAGACGTGAAGTTGTGTAGATGGACTAGATGTAAAATGAGTTCTGCAAAAGTTTAGTTGGTAGTGAAGCTAAGTTAAAAACAGCCTTGAGTCTTGAACTACTGGTTCATGTGATCTGTTGAGCTGCTGTATTTTGTGTAGTGTCATATTAACATTCATTATGGTGACAGATGGAGGACATATACGCAAATCAATAAGCTTCCCCACTGTCTCTCCCCCACTTCGCTCTATGTCCTTCCTTGCCGAACACATTCATCATTGCTCTGAATATTATCACTTTTGCAATTATTACCCTGTTGAATCAGTACTCTGAAATTAGAAATGATTAAAACCATTGATCCAGTTTACCACGTTCAAACATAGCAAACCATTGCATTGATTTGTCAACATAATCTCAGTGTAATCTTATTAAAAAAACAGCATTTATCCCCATTTGCTTTTTTGATGTTATTAATTCCCTTTCCCAGGTAAAATCATTTTAGTACATGGCATGCTGATGATTCTCTGTGCATGGGTAGTTTTATTTTGAGAACTGGCTCTGCATTTTAACTGGATTGGGATGTGTATAACCTAAAAAAAAAAAATGAAATCTTGTAAATTGTCAAATAACTTTTCTCTGTATGTAATTAAAATCAATCCTAACCTACAATATAATAACCTTATTGATCGCCAAAAAGTGTCTCTAAAGCCGTCTGGAAGCTGTGGAGGACACAATAATGTCAAATCCTTTGGGTTAATGGATTACTGACAATTTAGGTTATGGGTTAACTGTGAGGTTACAGTAAATGTACAGTCTGAATTATAGCAATACCAGATCAGATAAAAAATAGAGGGTGAATCAGAGATTTTTACAATGATTGGCCCTTAAAAATCACCCTTTTCAAATAAAATGTAATGTGAATGTAAATGAAAAAGCTCCACAGAATGCTTACCCAAATGACTTGATTTTACGATAACTTTTCCTCCCTAATCATACTGAAATGGTGAAATAAATCACTCTCGCTGCACAGACAGAAATCAATTGATCTTTATGTCTTTGCATTATTAACTTGTATATCAAAAAATCTGCTTTTATGCCCACTTGCACATTTATCTTCTATATGTTACATCAAAGGGGAAGATAGCTTATCCTTGAAATATTCTCCAGCCCACTTCCTTAGGTATTACTGGAGAGAATGAAAGATGTCTCATTATAGGGATTCTCTCACACTGAATAAAAATGAT